CAAGTCTCCCGCATGCGACGGATGAACGGACAACTCAGACAGGGAGGGAAACATATCCCGGGACGCAGATCTCTGAGATTGCACTAGCCAGACAGATAGCCAGCCACCCAAGAAGCAGTCGCCTGGCTGAGTCGAGATTTGTGACCGAACAAGTTGTGAGTGCGCGCTCGTTGGGTTGGATGGGTTGTGTCTGCATGGACGAGTGATTGGATCTCCGTGCCTTCGCGTCGATCGGCTGGGCTTGTCTGTGTATGTTATTGCATTGACTTGCAGATGACGGCCAGACGGACTGGCGCCGCTGTACCACCACCCACTTCTTGCCGCTGGCCGCTAACTCTACATGACTGACGCATCCTCTGGCCCGTATGACCAAGCAGAATAAGCTCGGTAGACGGAAGGTCCCCAAGGCACTGGTAGGCCTATTGCTCGTCGTTATCGTAACAGTGCAAGAAAATAGAAAGGGGTTGCGGCAAGGCTCGCGCAGACTGCTAGAGATGACAACGCCTTTGTACACAGATACTCGTGCACACATACAGACATATACAGCTATCACAGTATAACATGAGTTAGCAGCTAGCTACGACCCCATGTAGGTTAATGGAATGGTTTGATTTGTACCTCTTGCAAAAGAACAGCGCCCATCAAAAATCAACGAGAAAGCTGGCAAGCAGCCCCGCAACGTCTATCTGCGACATAACCCTGAGCTTATTGCAAATTAAGTAAGAGCTAAAGTTACGCAAGCGTCGCTCGTCCATCTCAAAATAGTCTCTACGGGTTAGGACGATGACGGAGCAAAAACATAGGTGCTTGCAATACATGGTTGTGACCGAAAAAGCAAGCAGACACATATATAAATAAAGGGGTCGTCATAGTCACGTGGGTTTGCACTAGGCCACGAAGGGCATGAACGATCAAGCGACAGCAACGGGAACAGGCTTCTTTGTGACCTATAATAAGACTGATCTTACCCTTCGACCAGATCGGCACATGGTCAACCACGTTAAAGTATCAGCCAACCTGGTCATTATTTACTTCCATCCATGGATCATTAGGACAACTTTTAATGACGGTGACAACTACGTTTATAATGATTTTTACTACATATCGGTGATAAGGTGGCGACTAGTGACCGAAATAGCTTTGCTTTCTCCAGTCTATGGACGTCGAGGGTCTTGCCATCATCTCAACGGTAGGTGGGGGTTTCCGCATTGGTTGCAGCGACTTCTTGACTTCCTGGCACCCTTTCGGGGCCGATGGAGGCGTCAATTCGTTAGAGACCAGCAGCCAGTCAGATCGTTCGATAACAGGTATTCTTGCTGTTTGTTGTCCTTCTTGTACTTTTTGTCGTTTCGCATTTTGTTATTTTTGCCACCCGTTGGTACCGTTTTGCTCCTACCATTGGGTTGCTCCGTAGTTGTTCTAGTTGTTGTTGTCGTTCTTGTCAGCGGTGCTACCTGCAATTTGGATTGTGGCTGATGGAGTGGTACATTCGTTTTAGCTTCGGTTTGCGTATGGATGTCCTTCTCCACATCGAAAACGCTGTCAGCTAGTAGGGCAAGACCAGAATAGGGAAAGAGAAAAAGTGCATAGAGCGCAGGATATTTGGCCGCAGAGGAATATTGGTGCGTAGAGGGACACATGTATGAGATTGAGTGAATGAGCGAACCAGTGCAGTTGGATAGAGCCTGGACGCGCAAGGGGGATATGGGTGCTTCTCGTTTTTCGATTTGTGTGTCCTGTACCGATGCCCAGCGACCTGGCGGCTTGCCTGTCTGTCAGCTGGTAGTAAATTTGAGCGCGGAACTACTAACTCAATTTCGATCCACGCCGGCTGGCCTCCGACTGCTGGCCACTCTACGCCATATTGGTCAGTGACTTGATGGACCAATTCGGCATCTGTACGTCCGTTTGTGCAGGTTTTGCCTTTTTGACGGGCAGCCATCGGCCGTCCGCCGCTGCCTTCCGCCTCTCTGCCATCTCTTTGCGAACACTGCCACTATCGTCGTCTGTTCCTGTTCAATCTTTTCAGTAGTCAGCTGCTCGAAATTGCAAGCGCGCCTTGCGCGCACACCACCGGAGGCACGTTTTTGAATGTGCTGGGGAATAGGGATCAATGCGTGAGTTAATTAGAAGCTTGCGGGTGGTCGAGTGGGCGATCGACGAAGCGGAAACCCAATCCCTCGACATTGAGTTGGGTTGCTCCATTGCCGTAGCCACCACACCATACTTACGACCGTCGCGTTACTGTGTATGTGTGTGCATGTTCTTGGCCGACTCAGCAGACTACTTAGACGGCGGATGTAGCCCAGCTCGGGCCCTGCTGACTGTTCATCGCGCTGGTTTGCACGTGGACGCTTTTTTTCTTTCCTTATATCTCACTTGCTTTTGCGTTGTCCGCCTCCTCTTCGGCCTCCTCTCTTTCTGTTTTCCTTGTTTCTTCGCTATATTTCTCGTCCACTTACTTGCGAGACGCACAGGCTCCGATCTACTCCACGGTCGTAGGTTCCCATTCGACGCACCCAATGTATACTGTCAGTGTCCCCCAAAACACAATTCCCTCTGCCCTTATAACTCACTTGCTGTTCCGATGGCTGTCGGATCGTAATGAGTGATGCTTCTTCGACATCCACATTGAACGGTCAACATAGTGCGGACAAAGCTTTGATAACAAGAGTAATCATAAGACGTGCTTAAGATGAGGGATCGACGCTGATCGAAAACGATACAGCGGCATATAGACGCATATCCTTGCAAACACACACAGGCGCTGATATGTAGAGGCTGCATGACGATGAAAGCGTTCGGGGTTACGAAAAATCGCACATACACGCACTTACTACCGTGGTACCAAAAGCCTGGCAATGGACGGTCAAAGCTATCTTGTTATATCTCACATAAGTACAAGGGTACTATATTGCTGGTTGGGTCACCTTCGGTTACTCGCTTCTTTTAGCCCTCTTGATCCCACTAAAATCCATGAACGATGCAACCTTCTCGCCTTACTGTTTTCGTCTAGCTCTCCTCATCGTTCTATTTTGCCCGCTTTGCCAGGGACAGAGTTGGGATATGTGAATGGGGCAATGAGTCGAGGGCCCACAAATCTGATGGCCACTGTAACCCTCGCTGCTACCGATAGTTGGATAGCCACAGAAGCGGCTTGGGTCTTCTGGTCCATTCCGCTTCTACACGGAGACGGGGACAAGTGCAAGCGGACATAGGAAAATATGGGATGTACGCTGCACTATGCTGCGCTATGCCATGTGATGCGAGCTGCAACAACAGCCAACAACAATGAACTAAGCGAGGCAGGTTTTTATCTGCTAACTAGCTTGCAGATAGCGTGTTTCGCTGCGTTCGTCCGTGGAGACTGGCCGTGAAGCCTCGTTCTTTGAGATTCCCAGTACAAAGCAAAAGGACGGACCGGTGCGTGGAAGGCGAACAGAATAGGATCATCGGATGTCCACTATTGCCAGGAGTCGAGACAGCATCGCTACGGCTACTACTACTACTAGCACCGCTTATTTTCACCCTTAAATAGGAAGGATCACTATGTCAGGCCCGTGGTACATCGAGTCCATACTGTATGTTTGGTAGTCGTAAAAAGATGGTCGCCTGCTCGGCTCAACCCAGCATGACCAAACGGACCAAGCTCCAGCAATAGACTGGTTACTGCCGACTCACAGTACTTGTGATACATGACCGACGCAGGATTCTAATTTTGCCCAATGAGGTCACCACTAAGCAGATAACTTTTCCCGGTCCTTTCGCTGGCCCGACGCCCTCGCAGAGCCGTGCTGAACACCGTTCAGTGCAGTCGAGCTCGAACAAGCGTCGAGCGACAACCGTCGGCTGACTAGGAGGAAACGAACGGTCAAGTAACGTTTGCGCAGAGCATAGGCGCTTGGTTTCTCAACGGTTCCTACCACATCAAAATCCCCAATTTCCCCGTTAAAGCTATCCTTTGTCGAAAAAGGGATGGTGGAAGCAGAAGTGGAAAGGTCATTTTTTTGATAAATTCCTTTGGACCCCACAGACTTATGAGGCATGAAAGCGATAAGTGATAACTGAAAGACTGAACGAGGATTGCGTTTGACATGTCTTTACGCTCTAGCGTTCTCTTACGTTCACTTCTGCTTTAGTCTGAACGGACGCAACCTTCCGTCGAACTGTTATTTTTCGACTTCCGTTCGCACAGAAACGCTGGACCTTGAAGGCAGGACATTGTTTGCTATGTTCGCGCAGAGCCCTAAACACCACTACTGTTATTACATTGCTAACCGAACTGTGGACAGATGAATGGATAGGCACAGATTTCGATGTCTCCTACCGACGTGGACGTTTTCCTCCGTTAAAAAACTTCTCCCGTACACATTTTGCGTTTTCATGGGCATCAATTAAAAAATCAAGTGTAAATACATCTCGAATGGATAATGAAGCGGTTTGTGCAAGACAGCATAGGACTGTTTTGCTTAATTAATAATAAACATAATAACTTAACTGCAAATTTTCTATAATCCTGGCTTTATGGCTAAATTTTTATTTAATGAAAAAAGAAAAAAAAACAACAATAATAACATACCTCTTTTTGAACAATGAAAATTAAAAATTAAACACGAAAAAGCGACCACATACAGATATAACGACTGTGTTCGGAATGTATGTAACTCAAAGCTATACCGGTAACAACCACCCATTAAACAAAAACAATGAACCTATCGACTCTAATAAGAGAACGTGGTAGATCAGGTAAACAGAATGTCCATCTATCCTGATCCTTCGTCTCCCATCTGCATATTAGCACCTATTGGCAGTACCTAATTGATCAGTAATGTATACTGTCGAGAACGTCATCGAGTTGAAAGTTAAAATAATATCTGATTGGAGTCTCAACTAGGAACAAAAATGAAATACGTTTAATGAAAGTTATTATTCCTTGGAATTATCATAGACTGAGGCATTTTCTAGCTCAGTTTTTTCAATAGTGTTTCGTTCCTTTCCAGTGCCTCCCAAGATCGACGAAGAGTTCAGCTCAAGTGAAGTGACAGTTCGTGAAGGATCGAGCGTAGCACTTCGTTGCCGAGCTACGGGTAACCCTAAGCCAGACATTCGCTGGAAAAGGGATCACGACCTCAAAATTCACACCTCACCCGATGATGGTGGTAAGCATGAAGACATATTCACGTATATAGGCCATTCACGGGGGACTATAAGACAGTACTAGGTGGAAGTAATTATTAATGATCCTAAGTTTAAGGCTACACAGCAGCAAAAAATCTGTCAGCCTATTAAAAACTTGAAAGTTAGCGTTTTTTTTTTTTTTTAAATAAATTATCTTTTCGACGTCTGTTCAATGATGAAAGTTTAATTTACGCTGGTGCTTATCTGATGGAGCCAATCGATTATTCGCTGTACGACTTATCAGTATAAACTGTCCTTCCCTAGACAAAGTATCTAAAACAAATAAAATCTATATTAGATTTATTTCTACAGAATGAAACTTGTGATTTCTGTTAGATAACGCCATTGTTAATGGGATCGGGTTTCTGATGATGAACTTTCTAATATCATTTGCAATTGTTGACCTTTAGTGATCTAGCTATTATTGAGCTACGAGCTGTTTTTGAGAAAAATACGATCATTACGATGAGTTGTGTTTGCAGTGATACACCATTGGTAAACGCTTTTGCGTGCCCTTCATCACAAGTCAAAAATATAGGGCTGTAAAGAAAAGCGCTGGTTGCACGACTCACGTGGCTACAATAGTGAAGCTGTTAAAGGTCTCACATGAAAGCTTCTTTATCATTGATTGAATAATAAGGTCAAAATTGTACGGCAGGTTGAACTATTTCTAGCACCCACACCAATGACACGTTTCGGACGGTGTACTTCGCTACCTACCTAGGCATAAAAACACATGTATCCTGGGACCACTACCCATTCCACCTGATATACCTTCAACTATGATAGATTACTACATCGTGTCAAATTTAACCAACAGTTATTTACATAGGAAACAAATCATGCTACTTTGTCCGGCAATCAGTATCGAGATTGCCTTACGACATGGCTTTTCTCGTCGAGTCAACGTAATGGACCATTACATCAGGTTTGCCAGACACTCGGCTCAACATCGAGATTGGTAACTAAGCGGAATATGTCTCTCAGCTAAAACTGCCTATATTACTGCGCGCCTACTATGCTTTTTCACCATCGGCATTTCTGCCAACGTGGGATGGCCTGAGCTATTTTTACCTCTGCAATGAACTCTGCCACATAGTCGTCCGTAACACAGTGGGAAAACGCGGTCCTCGGATGACTGACTTGGCAACGCAATGGCTCGTCCTACGGGCTTTCACCCAAACTCACCTCCGCCGGTAAGCGCCGACCACTCCTTGAAGCCGATACCCCGACCTCGGGCGGCCTGCTTACCCCTTGAAATGGGGCCGACACATTTTCTCTATGAAGTCTGTCTTAGTTTTCACTGACTTTCTCTCACTTCAATGAAGCGAGGCGTCCAACTAGAGAAGTCTTCTCCACGACGCAGTGGGTCGAATCCTTCAGTACTCTATTCAGAAGGGTAAGTTTGGTAAGCGTTCGACGTTGTTTGTAGCAGTTGAATCGGAACCAGTTGGTGCCGGTCGTGGAGGACGCCGCCGTAGCAACCCAACGAATCGGTCGTTTTTTGTATTCGCGCTCCGTCACGTCTCAGTCACTCAGAGGCGCCAAGGATGCTAGCGACTGAGGTATACCAGGAAGACATTTATCCGCGCTTATGCTGCTGTAGAAAGAATAGCAGCAGACCACTTCGTTTAGGCTAGCAGAATAGTGTAGTGTCTTCTTCAAGCTTTTTCGTTGACTTTTGTTTTCGGGGCTGATTTTGCGTCAAGTCGACAGGCGCTGTGTAACCAACGAAAGATTTTGGCGTAACGTAAAATGGCTAGTTGTCGAATGTTCCAAGGCAAAAGTTTGCTCGTCCATGCCAGTACTACTTTGAATGCTACCTTATCACAGATCTCAGATTTTTTATCTATATCCGTGTTATTTTTGAAAAATGAAGCTGTTTAATGAGGCTTAATTCGAATGTCACCCTCGAAATACACTTCGGTTGGTATTGTGCAAATCTGGAATTGAATGCAGCCTATTTTTGTCTAATAAGGCAGAACAAATTGCAGTAGAGCCTACTTTTTCTTCGTTGAATCGCGCATCGTTCTTTGAAATGAAACAAAGGTTCTAGTACCTAACTTCGTCTCGGTAGATGCCGAGTGCCCGACCCTCTGTGCCGCCGACACCGCCTTAGCTGCTGAGATGATTTGCATACCCTACCTCGTTCTTTCTCTTTTTCTGAGCCTCGCATTGCCTTCTAAACAGAGGGGGCATTCAAACAGGAGGAACTCTTAAAAATGAGGTGTTGGGTGGTGCCAGCTGTTCGTAGGCAACGCTAAGTCTATTCGGAGTTGTATCGCAGCCTCGCCACTATACCCAGTTTTATTTTTCATTATTCCGCACGCATGGATATTCTCTATCGAGATGTTGCCCTGCACTATCTATTTGATGGCATCTTACTCAACTGAACTAAAGTTTTGCCGTTTGTAAGCGACGGCCATGCTCCAGTCATGAGAGCCGAAAGGCTCGGTGAGAGCGGCAGGGCCAGCGGCGAACAGAAGGGACGAGCATGAAAGCAAGAGGAGACTATTTGATCTGCACTTGGTCATGGGAAGCGGTGTTTAGCGCTACTGGTCTGTTTTCCGATAACCGATCCATCATCGTGTCTAATATAGTTCTACTTTCAAGAAGCTCACTAATGTAGTCGTCTTCCAAGTTAGTCAATACTTATTCAGTTATTAGCTCCATGGTTAGGTATCCGATGCACGAGGCCGTAAATCGTTGAGGTCAAAACGAAAAAGTCGTATTTTTTCTCTTTTGCAACCTATATACTCCCCTTCCATCGCTCAGATGAGGTGGCCGTCTTGGATCATTGTCGCCAGCTTGCCGTCCGCAGATGTTCGTGTGTAAAGACTGCAAATGGAGGCAGACCGTATGACAGGCAAATATAGATATCTAATATAATAAGAATAATCGTACGGGGGGCTGCAAAGCCACTGAAATCCCAAAAGGATCTAATATTTACAGACATACTCGTCTGCGTGAGTCTACTATCCAATCTCGGAATGGCTTCTATCAGTCAGACGAATTTGGTACGGTGCGTTTAGTTCATCGATGTTCATTTAGCTATTAGAACTAGAAATTCGAAGACCAACCCAAATGATTTTGCACTTCTATCTACTACCTACTTGTTGTATCTAGCTGGTGAAGCTTTTTTGCGCACGTAACGTTGAATCTTGCGTACGGAACTGTCATCACGAAACAAATAATTCTGTTTCAAGCCTTACTCACTCAATAAGAAAACATATCTCCACTAATCCATGGCGATGATCGCTGATCCGGTCGGTAATGGAATCATGGTACACAACCTATTGCACCCTGTGCACAAGCTCATTCCTTTCGTAACATTCGTGTTACAGTACTACGAACTAGAAGAATAGCATCTACGAACTCATAACCAGCCACCAAATTACTGATGATCTGGGAAGACAACTTCTCATAAACAAAGCCATGTCCGTTGTACTACTTACACCTGCGTTTTTAGTACGATCGTGTGGCTCTAACGATTTTGGCACCTTTAACTCTAACTAACCTAATGAGGACCGTACATCAAGGTATGGATGATTTTTTTTTTGCGTATATCCGGATTATTGTTCTCGCTGACGTTTGAATTCGAACGCACGATTTACGTAAAACTAGTTGGAGTATTAGCTTTATCAGCCCTCACTGAAAATTGTTAAAGATTTTAGCTTTTAGCCACGACTGCTAACCTGAAACACATAAACATCCATGTAATCCACTGAGGAATCATGGCTAATAAATTCAGACTGACTCGGCTGATAGCTTCTTTTCCCCGCGCGGCCAAATAGTAAATAGGAGTGAAGCCTTTATGAAACAGTAACTTCCGTGTGTCCGCTGAAGTCCCCAGACAGGGAACACCTCTTCCGAATAGGTGAAAAGCTTGCTGCATGGGGGGGGCTCATGTCCCAAGCTGAATTGAATCTTTAGCGGTAGATCTCAAAGTACAAACATGCTTTACGGAACAGACACTTCCCGAACAGAAAGAGAGTAAGATTAGCAATTCAACCATTTTTACAGGCAACATCCACTCAAACTATTTTTACCCAAAAAAAACCCGATGCTATTTGTCTTTCGCCCTAATTTGCAATCTCTAACGTTGTTTAATGTATTCCTTTTTCAAAACGTTACATGGACGCGAATGAGTATGTACTGTTAATATTTTGAAATGACAGCGGTCCGCAATAAGCTAAAATGAGGGAACGACCACTCAACGTCAACAGAACGGCACCGCCAGCATCATCATTATGGCCGCTTTCAATCATCTTGCAAATAAAAGCGAAAGAACGAGCAAGCACGTTCGCAATAACCTAAATACAGCGGCCTGTTTTTGAACCCCTAAGTCGAAGAAAAGGCAGTCAAACTAACAGGTAGGCCTTTGTTGTGTCTGACCGGTTCAATGACTGTTTAAATTTACTTAACAATGATGGAGCTGAAATACTGGTAAGCAGTGTTCGTCATACAACCTCAATGAAACTACAGATGTAATAATTACGCTTTCTTTTCAAATCATGTTTCTTGGTCGAACCTCATCTGCTCTTGGCTCAGTTCTACTGCTAAGAACGATTGCGCCAGATGTCTAAAAATGTGTTTACATTATTTTGACTATAAGGAGAAAGCGCGAACAATATGTCGAGGGACATGTTTTTTCCGTGAATAAAAGTTCAGAGCGATCTCAGCCATCTATCAAATCCGTAATATTATCAGGTTGACATGAAGTAAGCAGACTCAGAGTGACAGAACGGCAAGGAACCAGGACCGTGAAAAATCAGTGCACACTGCCTTTCGCGGTTTACCATGAAATATTACTATTTTTTAATCAGATGTCGAAATATGGTTGTAACGATCGAAGCAAACTACCGAATGATGATAATCATTAGAGAAGACACTCCGAAAACTTCTCCTCTCTCTTTAGCTCGATCCATATGTTATGATGAATACATCGTCCGTACATATATACATCGATCATTGTGGATAAAAGCTCACGTTCCTTGAGTCATTCTGCGATGTACTGCCAATTTAGCGTAATTGGCGTGTTGTATATTTTGAAAATCGGCAAAGACTCTTGTGAAATTTGGATTGCCAGTGAGTGATTTGGGTCGGACGGACTGAGCGGACAAGCGGCTAAAATTCGGACGACAGAATTCTTTCAGACACGATTCGTTGCAGACGCTTGCAAACGACGCCTAGCTCTTTCTCTACGCCTTTTTCAGCCGCCAGCCGCTGTTCTTTTAGGTACGACACGCATTCCGCCCCATTTAAACAACTAACCAGTCGACCGATCGTTCACTGCCGAAGGCATTCTTCGCAATTTCGATACCTCACGAACGAATATAGGATGAGTTTCTGATCGAAAGCGGAGAAGGGGGCAGTTAGGAATTTCCGTGTAAACGGGAGACAGCGAAAAGGCGTAAGCGCGTCCATATGCTAGCTCGACTGACTATCTGTGTCCTGGAGTCTATCGACGCTTTTGTAGGCATCCAAGCAATTGGTCAACATGCACTAATTGGACTAACCACAACCAAACATATAGGCCAATATTACTCCATACTCGCAGCTCTAATGAGACTTGGACACGCAGAAGGATGGGGCTATTATTTATGCGGTAGAATTCGAATGTGCAAGCTCGGATTCGGGTCTCGTAGTACTTCCAACTACGAAGGTCTCGTACATATTCAAGCCGATTAAGGCAGAGCTACCGTCTAGTGACAATTCAGGGTATGCAATATTATTTAATTATTTTAAAATCCTCCAAGGACAAAAAACTATGTCATTGGGTCAGATGAGTATAAATCATTTAACGTTACCCATATTATTATTAATCATCACCAGAGCATTTTTAGTTCAGAGAATTATTTTTAGTCATATAAGAAAGATGCAAGATAACCTATGTCCGTGGAAAAACTTTTCTAGAAAGGCCCCAAATTTCTAGATCAAATATGCTTGCTAACGAAGAATGATAAACTTTTAACACATTCGTAGGATCATTACTTGGTACAGCTTGAACATCTAACTGTGGGACGTTCTGCTATCAGATGATAGGTTCCCGGGAGAAGGGGCGTGTGGGAGCAGAAACTACGCACGCCGACCTCCCCAGTAAACATACCCCTTCCAAATCTCAATAAAGGACTGATGTTTACTGTTAATCGTAGGACGGGCCAGGCCCGAATGACGAATCGGAAGAAAGTTGTAACCCACTCCAAAAAGAAGTGTGGGCCACGTTTTGTTTATCAGCTTGAATCTCTGAAATTCAATTTGTTCCCACCGGAACTCACTTTAACATCAGCTTACTTACAGGTTTAATTAGCTTAGTGAAGTGTCAGCGTATTTTCTAATAGCATGAACTACCTTCTATTGCACTAGAGATTTAGACGCTGTAAATGTTCCTGTTTTTCAGGTGTCATGTTTTACCATGGCGAGTATCTAAACATGAGTAAAGTCCTACGACATCAGATGGGTCCTTATTTCTGTATTGGATCCAACGGGGTGCCTCCGTCGATTTCGAAGCGAATCAAAGTGAACGTCGCATGTAAGTCTTAATAACAGTAATCCTACGTATTTCTCAAGACTTGTAGTTTTTGTTACTTCAACATATCGTCTTGATATGCAACTTTGCGCGAGCTTTGTATCTTCAAAAGCAATTCTCCCTGCATTGACTGCTGCCAAGAGAGCCCTCATGAATAGCCATATATAAAAGATCCGTTATTACAAGTCGAAGTGCGCTGTGTATTATACACGTTCCGTTAGTTAATATATACATATATATATATAAGAATTTCTCCATTTTTTCTTTCTTCCTAAACTTCCGCGCATATCTGCTTCAGCAATGGCATAACAGAAACGTTAAATTAATACCGTACAATAATATCGGAAACGTTTTTGTTTAGTCCCGCCGATGACGTGGATCAAGGAGCAGCTTCGCGGTGTTCCTATTCATGACAACGTCAATCTGACTTGCGAAATTGAGGCATTTCCAAGGGGTGAAGCCTTCTGGGCCAGGGACGATGGCGAACGTCTAGAAAGGTCTGACACGCACGAGGTCGCGATGCTACCTCGAGGACCCGAGTACCGTTACGATCTAGTGCTTACCATCCATCGAGTTCAGCCTGAGGACTACGGCTCGTACAAATGCGTCACAAAGAATCCTCTCGGTGAAACTGAGGCGATGGTCAAGCTATTTGGTAAGGATGTACGCTATCAATTTAGTTAGTGTCCATGCAATCCTGGGCAGAACAATTTCGGAACGTGATTACAAAATGAAATGTATATAATTACTAGTGGTGAAGTTCAAGTTCAGTGTGGATCACAAGTACTGTTCACGTTGGCGTACTATCCTAGAGTTAGATTTCCCTAGCTGGCTTTGTTTTACTGTGAAGTAAGCATTGAAAGAAGAGCAGCTGGCGCCTAGGCTAGCTGGTAGGTTAATAATAATTTGCATCTAGGTTAATGATCAATAGACAGTTATCTGCCATCGTAATTCACAGGCTTACTACAACTACTAATTTTTTTTTAGGTCATGGCTAAAAATAGACGTTTCCATATTTGTCCGATGTCTTTAATGATTCAGTGCGTAAAATATTATGCCTTGCAAAGGTTACGAGCCTGTTCAGCTATATGTATGTATGTATGTATATATATGGCCAAAATTCCTTCTGAACGAAAGGAATATTGCAGGGCACGCAACATTTGAAGATGAAATAAATGTGGCTACTTGCGCGACTAGACATCTCAAGTAAATATTTTTATTCAGTCCTGAATAACCCACAATTTTTCTGAACAATACTGGTAATAAATCGTAGTTTTTTTATAGTTCACGTCCATTAGGTCGATTTGGGCTACTTTTTCTGAAACTGTTCTTAGGGTGAGATTTGTTCCCTATTTGTGAGTAGAGGAGCCTACAATGAACCATGAAAAGCGATGTCCTCACCACAGTTTAATGCTTAATAATAGCGTTTCTAATGTATACATGTATATATATGAAACTGATATAATCAGTTGTGACGCGTTTTACACTCTACTAATACTCTGTGGGCCTGAGGTGATCTCGGTCGGGTCGGACGCAACATGGCTCTGCTGGTACGTACTCTATCGGTACATATTGTGCAGTGATATGCCTTTTGCGACAACAGCAATATCAGTATGAACGGAAGCAGCGGCGATGGCGGCTGCGGCGGCGGCGCTAACGGCGAGGGGGGATGGTCGTTGTTGGTCCATTAATATTTCAGGACACAAGCCGAGCGCGTTGGTGCTGCACCGCCGGCGGCTGGTTCATTAAGCTAAACAAAATATTTTCGTGCAACAATGACGAACCAATACCATCACATCAAGGACAGTCTAGTGCTCACTCCGAGGCGACAGTCATTCAAGAGGGCTACACCATATGAATAACTTGTCTCTCGCTTTGCCATCTCTGGAGACATATTGTTATGTCGTTAGACATGCATTCACTCGTTCGATATGTAATAAATAGCCAGAGATTCAGACACGTACCATTCAGGTCAACCTGAGCAAATTTACCCTACTAACTAAAGGTTGTGAGCCGTGCGTCAAGTGGGATGTCCTTTATTCAAATATGTCCAAATAATCTAGGCGATGTACAAGGTCCTTTGTGCATTGCCTAGGTTATTTATTCGCTATGTCTCCAACGAGAGAAATTCATTTGGAGAAACGTTACAGGTCCTACAGCTGCTTGGTTACAGGTATTAAATGCGACGCCGAAATGTCATGGTATGCTGGTAAATTCCGCCGATGTACTGGCCAACCACCCTGCTTACTTCGAAAAGTGTGCCAGCTGAAAAACGTCAATACTTGATAAAAAGCACATAGAATAAGGTGACCACTCCGCACTACGTAAAAGATCAGTGTAGACTACTTCTATCGTAGCCTGTGCGGTTCCGTTCGCCCTAGCTTACATGCGCTGTACTTCGGTTCGCATTTTCAGAGACGCTGAAACCAACTCAGGCAACTACTAGAGGCACGAAGCCACCGAAAACAAGTAAGCATACCATAGAAGAATTTTTTTCACCGCGTAAAATATTGTGCCTTGCAAAGGCTACGAGCCTGAGGTCTAAGCAAGCTTTTCGTAGCAGCAACGTAGCTGTCCAGTCTCTACGACAATAACAAAAAACCTTTTTTTTTTTTGTTATTGTCTGTAAAAAACAAAGAAGATTAAAGCGTTTCCTTCTGTTCTGCAACGCTCGATCTTATTGCCTATACTTGGAAGTTAGCCATCTTCCCTTCCCCTTGCAAATCTTCCCTTTCCACGGCAAAATATTGTTGAGCTATTTAATTAATTATAACTTTTGCAACGAGGTACAATTTTCTATCCATAGAATGCCGAATAACCTGATAGAGCAGTCACATCGAACACGCAGATAACTTAAATACCTGAGGCAGTTTTTTGATAGAGCCTAAAGAGAAGTCTGCGAGCTTGCCAATCAATGCTTTCATAAAATATCCTCGTTGCTACCGAAAAGACAGTTGCAGAATTGTTTGTTTCCTACTTGTTACAGCTAAACGACCGCCGACAACGCCAAGATACGAACGGCCCACGAAGCACCGTACGTATTAAATATGATAATAGTATACAAAGCGGCTGAGCAGTTCATATTTAAAAACATGCCGTGTATTTAATAATGTATAGTGAGGGCCTTTACAGTGGATTTGGGGTTAGTATTTTGTTTTTATCTCATATACTCATTGGTGAGCTTTGTACTGCTAAGCTCTAAATGCACATACTACATTGAGACGCTATCGTTTCACTTCTAATCTATGAAGCTGTCTGGAAATAAACAACAATCGAAGAAGTAATAGTCAAGGGCGTCTTTGTCCAGGACCGTCTAGTACATCAACGTAATGAACAGCTGATAAAATTCTAATTTCAATAATCTTTCAGACAACCCGTCAAGGACGACTACAATCGAAACGTACGAAGAGCACCCTTCGCTAAACGGTGAGCACTCTGTGATCTTTCACATGTCTGAACGAGGTTGGCTTTTACATTACACTACCTCGCTACGCTAAATACGGGATGCGCGAAAAACGTTTCAACAACAACAACAACAACAATTTTACGTCTAATGCTATTCAGCCGATTAACGCTTCGCTAGCGGACACGGGACGAATGTAACATAAAATGTTGAAGACCAAAAAACAATGTCAATTTATGTCGTTCGATTCGGCTCGTACGGACTAGTACACTGTTTGTATTTATTTACATAATAATACATAAAATAAATATCCTATCCAATTACGGATAGGACATTGCCGGTTTCGGCTTCAGCCGAGAGTAATCGAAGGCCTACTGTGACTGACAAGTCCGGAAAGGAACTTTTAAACGTATTTTACTCAATCGACCCGATCAGATACAGCATGCAATCGAAACTTGACTTCATTCACGCCATATTGGACATCCCCCGTGCAAGAAGTTGTTAGAAAGGCTGTTAAGGTTTTTGTGCGCAACGAATTGCCTTTCCGAGACTCTGAATAACGCTAACCTAACCTGAAAATTTTTGGCTGGAAGGATCTTGCAAGGCGAACATAAAATGGAAGTAAGTTCAGTTGTGTAACTAACTCTGCCCGTTACTTTTCAGACATCGGACTTTACAGTGACTCGAGTCTCGCATGGAGGTCGTCTATCCTGCTTACACTCGTATCCGTGCAGCTCATCGTCATGTTCTGGAAACAACAACGGATATAAGTCGCGCATATATTCAAGCACATAACTTGTTGCCTACTCGAACCCGATAGTGCCCGAGAGGACAATAACGCAAAAAGAACAAACAATAAGCGAACGCGAGATTACCAGGGATTTTTTTTTTCGCGAAACCTTGACATTCCGCTTCATTTTGCCGGGCAGTGCAATTGATAACTGTGGCGGTCACCGATGGAGCGTGCCACACGTATGTTATGAAATATGGCTTTTGGATTTATAACTACAAAAGGGCAGGCGTGGATGGGTTGTGTGAGCCACATCGCGTGTCCGCGACTACTAGCGTTTGTTACTACGAATGAGATAACGAAATGAATTGTTGAGAACGGGAGCTTTCGGAAAATAGATATGGGGGTACGGGAGAGGCTGGGGTGTGGAGCATCAATGAAAAATGCTAAGCATAGCGACATACTAAAAATTAAAGAGAGGATATACCGACGACGGTAACGGCGACGACGACACCGGTAACAACAATTTATTTTTGGTGGATGATCAACATAACGTAACCGACACATCCGGTGTATGTGAGCGTGCGACCGACCTTATGCATCTTATGCATAACGTGCAATGCGTGTAATGTCCGCGATTCTCGCTATATGGCATTCATCTGACTAGCAGCAGTACTATTTCTACTGCTAATACTAATTTTATTGTTGGTGTTGCGCTGCAATCATGAAACCTTAACTCGTTCCTCTCTTTTTACAAGTGCCATAGTAGCAGTAAAGTTGCATCTTGAACGGATGATGCAGATTTCCTATTTCCGGTAAGGTATAGTGATATGACTAATATATATATATATAATATATAAGTAAGCGTAAACACAAGTAGAGATCATTTCCAAACACTGTTTTGTTATAAATGCACATGCTAAAGGGAAACTGAGAGAGAATCAGATTGGAGACTGATGACAAAACAGAAGCGCGACGATGATGCGAGGTCAAATCCTTCAAACGAGGCTAAACCTAAGTCTCATTATGGGTCGACTGGTGTTAGGAAACATTGTATGTCGAAGAAGGCAGTCCATCTAGACTTCTTTCAGAATCTGTCTAGAGTCTATTGGGAAAAAGACCCGCAAGGAGAACTGTGTAATGGTGATGAATGAGAGAATATGGTGGCCAAGTGCGTGTATACCGGCCGGAACAACACCGGAAACGACGGAGCTCATTTCAAAACCGGATGTCGAAGAACGAGAGCAAAGGGGACGAAATAGTAGTAAATAGGCCCTGCTCCCACTACCGCCGCTGTCAGTTGCCTGCCCACCATCTTTTTCTTAACACTCTCTCTGTTGTGGGAGCTTTGAAGAATGCAATACACTCAGCCGCTTCATCCAGTAGCTCCCGCGTGATTCTGTTGGTCGTTATTGTATTGTATTGTATAGGCACGGCAGCAACGAGTGGTCGCTGTAAAGGCCGCCCCGCTGACAGGATATCGCAGCGTCCAGTGCTCCAATGCGGCTCGCGCCCAAAAGTAGCGGAGTCAGACAACGCCACGCGACCCGATAGAACGAAACGAATGCCAGTAACATGGAGCTGTCAAGTAAATCTAACGACGAGTATCGTTGTCCTCATGGCGGCAGGCTGCAACGACTATGGGCGATGATGATGGCGGCAAGTAGAGGACAGGCAGAATGACCGCCCGAATTACTTAAATGGGATAGAAGAGAGCCTGAGGGGTGGGGCCTCGAATAGAAACATTTCTACATGGACCCCGCCAATCAATCGAACTCGGACAGAACATAGGATTGTCAACGCTATCGAAGAACGATCTCGAAAGGCGAGAATATATCATCGTCTGAGTTGCAGCGTCAACATCAACGTTAAGAAAGATACGTAAACGTCAAGGAAGAAGATTGTGAATTATTATGTCAATAGCCTGCTATCCTATTTCCTGTGACCTACCTTCCGATACTGTTTTACAATCGCATCTCAGGGTTTATAAAACGTTTCCAAGCTTTTCTGCCTGAATATTTCCGATATTTAGGGCGATTTATGAGCGCGGGATCGCTGGTCACGATACATACAACAAAAGTTCGGAGTCGTGTCGTCTGTATCGTCTTGTAAATATGATTTTTAACTCAAAGCAGAAACTGCCCTCCCTCGGGGCAACGAGTAACGCGAAGAGAGGATTATAGAATAGGCATTGTTGTGCCCTGCTGGTTAGGTTCGATAGGTTTGAAAAGGATATAGTGAAGCACAATAGAAAATTGTGCCTCAGTGTTTGAGTTTGAAGCTACACCTTTCAGGTCTGAGGTAGTTGAAAATTTCATGAGGGGGAATCAAGCCAGCGACAGATATCGGTGACGAGGCCCCCTAGCTGCCTTTATGTCTATCTTAAAACGTGATAGCTCGGCGGAGAGTGATGTTGTAAATAAAGGAGTTGTCGCCTGCTTTCAGACGACGCTGTTTAAGATATGGAAGTGTTTAAATTGAGCACTGACAACTTAAGTGGGAAAGGTTGAAAAAAAACTAACGGAAGTAACAGCACTTTACAGGAAAATGACGAAAAGCTATAAGAGACAAACGCAACGTCATCTCTGAGCCTAAGGACGTACTTATTCTAGAGCAGTTGGAAAGTGGACATGAGGCTGCCGTCGATCCTAAGTCGATGACACATCATCTACAAATGTAATAGTCATTTCAACAACAAATTTTTACATGTACATGACGTATTATCCGTTAAGGGCGCATACTTATACAAGCAGGCCTTTCACGTTTTTGCAGTAGGTACTCTACACTATATGGCCGGCAGGATTATTCAGACTTGCTCGAGCATCAGTTAAACAGGCAGCACAATTTCAATAAAAGGCATAATCGCAGTAGTTATGTGCCACAGTTTTATGTTATTTTTTGTGTCGACAAACAAAAATACAGAAGACAACACGGCTCAGACTTGACGCATGACTCAGTCAATATGACAACTGCTTTTTCTTCAGTGAGAGGTGGGGTGCAAACCGCATAGGCGCACACATAATCGATCACCAAACGAACCAGTAAATAATGCTACGCAATGTTAACAATTACAAGTGATGACATTGTTTGGACGAACAGCGAGACGGGTAATGCTGGGAACGAATCGACCAGACGAAAACTGCTTTACATATACCTGGAAATAAAAATAATACTGAATAACTAATAAAATCGCGTAAATAAATAACTAATGTACATTTGGCACTAAAAATAATCATGCTAGTACACAATAAATGCTTGTATTTATTTATTCAATTTTAAGTTAGTATCGATAGCGAACAAGCGAGACAATAATAAAAACAAATGATATGAAGGATACAAACAATGATGCGAAGCCAGTCTCCACGGCCTTGATTGTAACAAGCCATCATTGAAGAATCTCTCGCCAATATATTGTCGTAACATGGGAATGCTCTGTAAATAAAGACACAATATTATGAGAAATTTCAATATGTCTTACGTATAAATGGCAAATCGCATGCTTCATAGTACCGGGCTGAACAGTATTATAACGAAAAATATTCTTGTACAATTAACGAACTTCAACGTCATATCGTGTTGTTGTTAAAAAAAAAAAAAAAAAAACGGCAATAACGAACCCTCAACGACGATTTGTCGTATACTGTCGCTTACATTTGACGGTTGCCATTAGTAAAGGACTGCTAGGTATTTCTTGCTTGTATGCTTCGTTGTCCTTACACTATCAAATTAAATCCCTCCTCTTGTATTAGCGTCTATTTTCGTCATGTCATAGTAATCAATTCGAGATCACGGTAGAACGCAACACTACACGCTCTCCATGCAAACTGTTCGCAGCGGCACAGCCTTCTACACAAGGATAGATAGATAGTATCAAGGCGTAGCCTCATAGGCAGCATGAGCTTATCCGGCAAGGAGCACCGTGATGCTAACTTGTTCGATTTTGCTATATACGATGGCACCGTCTCTGCTACCAAATCGGGTTCCTGTTTGTCCCCGCATGGTGTACCAAAGAGTTGTAGCGTTGTAACTCTCCGAATTTGTAGCCCTTTTCATCCAGATAGACGTACGTCAATGTATCGCTGTTCCACCCCCATCCCCAATTCGGCTTGCCGGCCTCAAGATGTCTAAGCATAAGCTCTTCCTATCATCTTCTTGCGCTCCTGCGCAATGCCGCTGCTTTACCCACGTCCCGGCCTAACCCTATGGCCCCCCGAATCGTACATCGTTCAAGCCTCAAGCAGATTACATCCCATCTCCACCCCATGCCTTTACAGGCAAGCAGGCGTCGTCGTACGTCTTCCTCTTTCTTCGTTTTTCTCTCGTCCCCTATAGGATATTATACCAAGGACCCCTTCAGGAGCCATCAGAGAGCATCAGGATGGGTAGCAGGTCCTTACTCACTTACTAACGCGTGCTGACGGCAAGGCAATGGAAGCTGTGCGAAGCTTTCTTCAAGCCTCAGAACGGCAGTGGTGGCACGGTGGCATAGTGGCTTAGAGGATACCAGTAGAGGGTTAAGCAGGATACAACATGGGCAAGGAGGCCCCACTATACGTGTAGTTCTTTCTACTGCAAGCGGAGCGCATGGGAGAACGAGCGAACACTCTAGCTCACACTGGCCCACTCCAGACTCTCGGGAAATCAGTCTTTCAAATCACCGTGATCAGCTCTAGCTCTTCTAGATTGAGAACGCACAAGCCATTTCCCCCACGCTCGTGCACCCCATAATCGTGAAGATACCTCAATATAGAAGAAATACCCTCTTTCTCTTGCCAATTTTCCAATTCAGTCTCGCTGTCTTGAGTATCCGCCCACGCCTAGGCGGCATCGCTGCCGCCCGACATAGCGAGTAACTGATTAACAGAGGTGAATTAAAGTTCCTTCGCGTCTACGCAATATATGTCTTTCAGCGAGTTTGTGAATAAAGTTGTAACTACCACCACAAAAAAAGTGGAGAGAACTTACACACACAAGCTTAGATAGTTTCAAATTAGGTCGTGAAATGTATCTATGAAATAAAACGCATTTTTTAGTAAAACGAAGTATCCAAAGATGGACGGTGTTGTCCAAGTATTTATCCGATATTTTGAGGTTCTGCGATGCATACGTCCAACAGCGATGTGAGTGTATGAAAAATTTCGTGTGTTTGTGTGGCTTCATGAGCTCGTAGTTCTGATATGGAGGCACGCATTTTCTGTACGGCGTCGTCTCCGTAGATCACGACAGTGGTTAAATTACTGGCATATATATTTGTTTGTTTTCAGTATGAAAAATCAACAGTCTGAGTGAGGTCAAAGCACACGCCTATAACTGTGCTTACGGGATCTGAAATGTTCAGCTTTTGGAAGCTCACATTCCAATCGAAGTGTGATATCGTAAAACTTAATCAGTAGTCTATGCATCTACATGTAATCAATCGTTGTTTCAGTTTGTTGTATTTCGTAAGTTTATCTACAAAATATTCAAGTAAATGGAGTAATATGGAAAACTTTAATGTAGAATAGGTCAGTCCAAAGTATTTTTAAAACCAAGCCTCTTATATTGCATTTTACCAACTGCCATCAGGAGCTCAATCGAGGGAACTATTTCATATCCACACACAGTCCTAAATGTATAAAGTGTTATATTATCGTATAGTTCATAGAGACTTTATGTATATAACGTATAAGAATCACTCCACGCAGGCAGTAAGCTACACTGAATGTCGTCTCCGCGAAGCTTCACTAGGCATGACGCGGGATGCTCGACATGATGTCTTTCGTTCATAGTTTGCTTCAGCTATACGGTGGAAAGACGCGTTTTTCTGGCTACCGGACATCTTGAGTTTTTCTTCCCTTTAACTTCTCTTTCAATGTAATAAAGCTCCTTAGGATCTCTTATATCTCTACCGCTGTAGCGCCGCCTCATGAACGCTTCTATATAGCATAGCATCAAAAGCCATCTCCAGCTATCCTGTGAGAGTCCCAGATGAATCTTATCTTCACGAGCAAATTAAGCGCATAAACTTAAGACCCTTCTTCCTAATTGCCCACTGACTAGCCCCCACGCCAAACCCCCTTCCGCCCGCCCTGCCCCACAAGGCCCCACCACACCGTGGCTCAACCTTCTGCTGCTGGTGGCCGATGAAACTCGACAAGCCAAGGGCCGTCGCCTGGATCGCCTTATTAGCTCGAGATCCCTCTTGGTCATTACAGTTAGCTTCGAGGCCATCCTATCTGTAAAATCCGGCACAATAGTAAAAAATGTTTGAAATGCTTTTGCCCAAAAGATACTCATTAACCATCATATAAAAATCGACAATCCCAGCAAGCACTCTATATGCGTTCTGTTATGAATTCGGCGACGGCTATATAGTCTACCAAAAGAGATGAAGTCGGCTTCCTGTGCTGTTATTATATGGTGTCGTCCCTTCCTACCATCGGGTAGATCAAAAAGGTCAGCTACATTCACTTTATTTGATGAGCAACGACGACCCAATTGAATATAACTATAATATTTACTTAGTTAAGTGCGCAACGGAAGTTATGATCTGAAAAATTGCCTCATACTATCGGCACGTCTTAGGTTTCAACGTAAGACCAAACCAGCAAGGTTCTAGAAATACGTTTATCATTCGATTTATTTTCATTATATAAATTATTATATTGTTACGTAGATTGCAATCTGCAATAGGTGACAAATGATAGAAAGTTAAAGATGTTAAATATAACACAAAAGGCGAAAATGGTAAAAATGACCCAGGCGAAATACTCTTAAGATAACGTCAAATACTTTGACTAGAGCATAATAGTTTAAAATAAATATACCATTCTAGGTTACACGGATGTACCGTTAGGCTTTGTGACAACATAACTCGTTTGAACGATGTTTATTTTCCAATTGCGTTATAGAGAGTTTTAAGATCGGGTGAACTCCACGCTTAATCTTACCCGATCCTTGAAAAATTACGCAAAACATCTCATCTTCTTCCTCGGTTATGCGTTCTCGCATACGTGGTGAAAGGCTTAGTGAAGCCAGCCCGCTTTAGCAGAATCCTCCGTACCAACTCAATTGTTTTTATACGAACACATCTAGAGTATACCCACTGCCTAACAAATATCATACCTAACGCTCAGACGTATTGAAATTTCTGATGCAATCTCGGCTGTGTTCGGAGTCGTCGTTTACAACTGAACCTAAATCTGCATAGACTGACAAAACCAGAGGCAAAACATCTGAAGGAACTCAGTTTCGGTGCATTGCATATATATGCGATACATACGATTGAACAGATGGTACGAGCAGCATATGAATAAACTATTGCAATGTATGAAGCCACGTACAATGCATATGAAACTGTGGTGAAAACGAAGTCACGAGTCAAGCTTTCTCGGTTAGTAGCACTTCAGATCAGAAGTAATGCTCGTGAGTCTGAAACCGTTCAATGTATTATTGCTATTATTGTTATCAATATTTATGCAATAATTAATCATAGATCACACAGATATAGTATGAACAGCCATATCACTTTGTAGTCTGCTAGCTAAAGATTATTTGCGTTGCGCATTTGGTAAGTGAGATCATATAGGTGACACAAGTTGTGCTTGACATCCCGTTAACGAAAGTGCTTCTTATGGTTAAGTCGTAGATTTGTTTCGATTCACTGACCAAGCTACTAGAGGAAACAGCCGTCGAGAACAGGCATAGATTAACCTCTTTATACTTGCTCAATGATTGGTTCGCGATATAACTTTTTTTTTTTTAAATATACGTATTAGTCTACACTATCTTTAATAATTTACCATAATAGAGATTTTGTATAGTATGATCAAAAGTTTCGAGAAACTTTCCCTGCTAATTCTAGCCAATCATTTCCTATACTCGTAGACTGGTCTTGTTTATCATTTATGCAAAGCGATTTCACTTTCGCCCGCCACTTCGCTGGCCTTCACATTAGAAAAAAAGGCCTGCTGAAGCGCTCTGCAAATACTACCTATTAGTTTTCCTCTGCTACAACTTATGCCCCCTCTCTAGGAAATCAAAAGTTATTGCATTTTCGCCCCTCTATTCTGCTGTGTTGAGTTGTCAACGACGTGTTGAATTGTTCGGCCACCGACGCAAGTCCTGCGCCGGCTGTTTGCGTGGATGGACGCCTGCGAAACCGGTAGACGTCAGCGACAATAGCAATGCGCTGTTAACTTGAGTGGATTGGCGAGAGAGTGCGAGGAAAGGGGAAAGACGGGGGGGGGGGGGGGGGGTAAAGAGAGGACCTTTGCATGCGGTTACGACGCCCATCAACCCCATAAATCAGCAACCAACACACCCATGTGCATTCTTTCCCCCTAGCGTCGGATGAAACTAAACCTCTGCTCGAATTTTCCATAACCCCGGACTTTCCATTCGGGTTGAGTTTAAATAAGAAGGCATAGCAT